AAGCTGAAATATTGAAAAACCTAAAAATGGAAGGAAAATTAAAGAATCGAAACAGTGAAAAAATCCCAAACTGAAACATTGAAAAATTGAGAAATGGAGAAATGGGAAAATAAAAAAAATTGGTCTGAAGAGTTTAGACAGTACTTCCCTCGCTATCGGAAACGTGACGACTGCATGCCTATTATGTTTTTTTTTCACATTAGATTTCAAAGCATTCGGTTTTGTAGTTCCTGATTAAATCAACAAAATAAATTTGAGCATTCATTAAATTTTTTGAGTCACCCTATATATCCGAATCCAAAAAATATGAATGGAATGATAAATTACAAGAAAAGATTCATCGTATTTTGCAAATTTTAAATATTATTATGCGGCAAACTTTTGAGCTGACGTCATCAATTTTTTGGAGGGGATAAGCAAATATATTTTGACTAAAAATTTATTATGTTCTTTATAACCTTAAAACATTTGCAAGATTTCAAAGCATTTGGTTCTGAAGTTCTTGATTAAATCAATAAAATAAATTTACGTATTCATTAATTTTTGGGGTCATCCTGTATATGCAAATTCAAAAAACATGAATGGAATGATAAATCACAAGAAGAGACTCATCATATTTTATACAATTTAGATAGGATTTATTCAGCAAAATTTTGAGATGACGTCATCAATTTTTTTTAAGGGATAAGTAAATATCTTGTAATTAAAACGGTCCTGGTTTAATAACAAAAAAATATTGTTCGTCTATAAAACAAGCTCGTCTTAGACAAAGTATTCGTAAAAAAAATATGTCGTAAAAAATTTACGTATGCTGGTCCCGACTGCGATTATGGTTCAAATATTTTTTTAGAAAATCCTGTCATGGATGTAGAAACATTTGTGACAGCCAAAGAGGTTTTTTTGAGAAAATTATCTTTGAATTTAGACCAAACTGAAATAGACACTAGGCAACAGGCACATTTGGGCAAAAAAAGAGAAATTAGGGTTACGGCTTCAAATTTTAGACGTATTTACAAACTTTTAGACCGACTACAGCAATAGCTAAAACTGTGGAGTCTCTGTTGTACAGTACATTTAGAGGTAATAGTCATACATACCATGGGCAACAAAGTAAGGAAAAAGCTGTTAAGTGTTTTGAAATAAATAAAAATATAAAAACTAGGGATGTACCGACTAGTGGCCGACCGGTCGGATAAGCCGACTATTCGGCCGTTTTTCATCGTCGGCGGGCAGCCGGCGACTGGTCGGCTAAACAGCCGATCGGTCGGCTTTTTTTATTAAAATTAAAATAGTATACGAGTATAAAACAATTAAGCCCGGTTTACAGAACCTCAATTAAATATTTAATTGCGATTTAATTTTTAACACCGCGTTAAACTACCATGTGACCGACTCTACGCCAATCAGACGTCGCTAATGGCCTTGTTAAATGCGCGATCAACTTAGTCTCAGTTAAAATATTGTATAAACTGGCCCTTAGATTTTTCAGTTTCTCGATTTTCAATTTTTATTTCTTCAATTTTTGATTTGCATAATAATAATAATAATTACGACTTAAAATTTTTCACTTTTTCAATTCTACGATGCTAAAATTTTTCCATTTTTGAATTTTTCGATTTTTAATTTTTGAATTTTTCGTTTTGAGTTTTGAGTTTCTTTATTTTTTCAATTATTAGGTTTTTTAACGTTGTGATTTTGCAATTTTTCAAGTTTTGTACTGAGTTACTACAAAAAAATTAAATGTTAAAATTATCCAAACAAATTTAATACATTTTTTGGAAAACAAAGGAACTTTAGTTATTCCTTTTATTAAAATAAAACAAATTTTCAAGATAGTCAGAGATTTAGAAAAAAAAAACACACTGTCTGTGGCATTTATAAACCGGTTTTAGCAAAGCCGAACAGTCGGCCGACTAGTCGGTTTTTACTGGCCGAACAATCGGCTAGTCGGTTAGTCGGCCAGACCTACAGTCGGTACATCTCTAATAAAAACTGAAGGGTGTGGCTTCTTTATTTCACAACAATTTCCTTACTTGGCTGCTAGTCCAGACAGGGTTCTAGAGGATAGGAGTGCATTAGTCGAAATTAAATGCCCTTCAAAATCGCAAGATTTGTCTCCCGAAGGGACGGTTAGGAAAAAAAAAATCAAATTTTGTACATTGACACACAGAGAATTGAAACTAAAAAAAAAATCATGATTACTACTTTCAAGTCCAGGGACAAGTGCTTGTTACGGGTATTTCACAAGTTCATTTTGTTGTGTGGACACCCGAAGGAATTAATATGGAAAAAAACGAAGAAATATGTAAAAAGATGTCAGATAAACTTAGCAGATTTTACTTTGGCGCATTATTGCCCGAAATAATTGATTTAAGAAGAAAGAGGAACCTGCCTTTGCGAGAGATTTTTTTAAAATAAATAAAATTTGTTTCAATTTTTTATGTACTTTAATAATTTATTAGGAGTACATTTTTCATCACCAAGACTTGCATATTTTTATTATAAATATATTTTGAAAATGATCTCTCGGCAAATGAAAACATATACGAGCACTTTATTCGAGTAAACAACGAAGGGAGAAGTTACTGGGCGTAGGGCTTTTTTAAAACATCTCCTTTCTGGGATAAGTAGTAGATACACTTAGCTACTTATATGTGTTAAATAAAAGCTGTATATTATACATTTTTTATTATTATTATAAATATGTTGATTAGTTTTATTAATTAAGAAAGTAAAATATATATTAACAATAATATTACAATGAATTTTTAGTAATCATGTGTATTGAATTCAGAATCCTGAGTGGAGTAAAAATATTATAGTTCCCCAGTTTTAATTCGGTTTTATGATAGTACCCCATTGCGTAAAAATTAATTTCCTTAAAAATAGATTACTACGAACGGCCGGTCCTGGCGGCTTGTTATAAAACTGAGTTCCTTGCCATAAATTAGAAAAATCAGCCGAGAACTCTAACAATCAGCTTATGGTAGAGCAGGCGATAAGGGTTTTACCTGGAAAGTCGCTTCCGTAAATTTTAGTGGCGCTCCTATCGGCAAAGTACTGAACTAACTGCTCAAATTCTGTCGAATTGACACCCATTTTTTTCAATAATTGTTAGTTTTTGTTAAAAAGTCTGCTAACCAATAGATCATTAATTTTCCTTTGATATTCCTGTTAAAATTATTCGACGTATTTTGCATTAATTTGTGGTATATTTTGATTATAATAAACACATTATTACTTAAACAAATTGTACCACTAACAAACATTTAATAACTCTGCGCCCTGTAAAAAGTGATGTTTTATCCATGTGCGAATTTTCAAGCGATTCTATGATGGTTATGACTCAAAAAACTTGAAAAGAAAACATACAATGGTGCTTTTTTTACGATATTTCTCAGCTATATTTTTTTAATTAATTGAACTGATCTCTGCGCTCTAGAATATGAAAAAAGCTGAAGTTTGATGTAGATACATGTATATTAATATCACTTTTTCATACAAAAAACCAAAAAAATGTTATACCTCGTCTAGCGAGTCCCCTTAATGTCTTGTCTACCAAATATCTTTTTTTTCTATTGTTGCCGAAGGGTTTAATTAAATCCCACAACTGTTTCTTCGAAAATTTTTGTCAAATTCAACACTATGTTTAAAGAGCCATTCCTGCATTTCAGATTTTTTACTAGAAAAAGTGGGTGGTTTATCTAATTGAACCGAATGACACGGTGCATTGTCTAAAGGCACCACACATTTTTGGTTCAACTTTGCCAAAATAGGCATGAGCTGATTAACCACCCAATTTTGAAAAATTGTCCCGTCCATCGATTTATGATAGTCTCTATCGTTATTTTTTGAATTAAAAAATTTGTTACAACCATCCAAGAACCCGGTTGAACAACCCGCGTGGAGAATAGTAAACCTTCATCCTTCACTTTTAATTTTGGTGGGATTGCTTTTTAGATCAGTATTGTGCACCCAGCGACGAATGGACGAACCATTTTGATAGATCCATGTTTCATCCAAATACACGAAAGTCAAATTTTCACAAGAATTTAGAAACTGTAAATTTGTTCGCAAAAAAGTAATTTTGACTGCAACGACATGATTTTGTTCACATAGAATTTTGCGACCATTTACTTCCCTGTGTTTAAGAATTTTGTATAATGTGGTTCGCCCCCCTTTAAATTCCAACTGTTCCCTAGAATATGCCAAAAGAGTATCTGCAGTGAAATATTCGTTTTTTTCATTGAGTTGCCAAATTTGTAGTTCCAGGTCTTTCCGAAACATACAATTCGTAAATAAATCCGTTGGTTTTCGCTTGCCAGATAGTGATGTTTTTAAATTTTGGTCCCCTGTTGATAAAATTTTCGCCACAATTGATGTTCCCACCTACGAGAAAAAAAAAATTAAAAAATATTTTCCAGCGTATTTTTACATTGCAGAAAATGTGTTCGAGACCCTCATAGTTACTTCTTCGAAAGAAAGATCGGGCCTGTCTTTTCGAAACTGCAAAAAACATCTTTTTATTACAATTTTTGGTTGCAGTAAAACTATTTTAGGCATTTTCTTTTTAAATAATGTCGCAAAGATCTGTGAATCTGTCACAATGACAAATTATCTATGCTGACAACATTAAAACATTTGTTTGCTTGATTAAAAAATTGCGTCTAATAATTCTGATCTAATAAATGAATTGTAGTGTTAGATATATGGTTTTAAGTAATTAATCTTTCAGACATAACGTCTCTATGGCTTACAATTGTTATTTAGTAGTGTCAAAATTAAAAGCCCGAGGAAATGTCATTTTTTCAATCAATGTTACCAACCGGATCACAGTCAAAATAAAGCCTACTACAACGTCGAAAGTCCTCGATAAACAAAAAATACAAATTAGTGAATACAATAAATAAATTTAATAATAATACATAACAACATATTTTGATTTTCTTACACTTAATTCGAATAACCCCCGACCTTACCAAGACTAATTAAAGTCATGCGCACGGCCACAAAGACTTGCGCTTTGAGTTTTCAAAATACAATATTTATTGAGGTTGTGAATCTTTTGCAAAATTCTTTATTTTCATTAAGGTGCGCCAACACTATTCGAATATTTAGCGTTATCCTCACCAGCCGGCAACCTAACGTCAGCACTCACAATGCCCCCAAGAATCTCTAAATAAAATGAGCCATGACCTCCATCCTCGAAGAAAAACTGCGTGAAGCCGCCTGCATAGGCGATATCGAAGGTGTCTTGGCCCTCTTGTCGCAAAATCTCGACATAAACTCGAAAAACGGCGTTAATGGATGGTAATCTAACCTCACTTTTAGGGTTCAATTTCACCGGGTTTTTTCCAGGACGGCTCTGCACTGGGCCGCTAAACGAGGGAACACGCAAGTAGCAGACCTTCTGCTCAATCACGGGGCCAACCCTAAGATCGAGAATAGCAAAGGTGAAACGCCTGGTAATCTTTGCTCTAATCCCAACACACTTGCTTTGTTAGGGGAAGATCCGGCGCAGGCTGCCAACAACGAGGAACAAGTCGTGAAATTCACGCCGAATTATTTGAAAAACCCCCCGATTAACGGGCAGGTGGACATCGGGAAGTTGAGGGGCAAGCCGGACTTTTCCGCCATGCCGACGACGACTTTGCCGGCTTGTTTGAATGATGGTGCGTGGTTAGGTGGTGGTTGTTGTTTTTGTTGTAGGAGTTGTTGTAGATCTCGTTTTAAATGTGCGGATCGCTGGGTCGAGCGATCCGGATTTCATCGAAGTGGAGATTCCGAGATGGAAGTTGACGTATTCGAGTTTGTTGAAGATTTGTTGCGAGGAATTGGAGTTGCTGGAATCTCAGGTTGAGAGAGTCAGGAAGTTGCCTAATACGAGGTTGAGGAAGGACAGTGATGTGAAGAGATTGAATAACTTCCAGAGTCTCGAGTTAGTGCTCAAGACGCCACTCGGCAGTGATAAACCCACAAATTGTTATCAGAGTATATCGACGTGCAAGAATCAAACTATTTTGTACTGAAGGCTGTAGGTGACTACTTTAGGAAGTGCATCATGATATCATTAATTCTAACATGAAACTCCACAATTTATAATAATATTTATTTATTAGTGATATAGGGACTAGTTTGAACAATAAATTTTAAACATTATTGCTTTGAAAATTGTTATTACTTATTCCCACTCCCCTATACTACAGGTTTTTATCAAGTGATCAGGTTTAACTGGTCCCTGATTTTTTTTTCTCTCGTGTGGTTGCTGATCTGGACTGCACTTTAAATCTAAGTAACTTTTGTAATGAATCTAATTCAGTGAGAAAATTTCCTCTTGTAAGCTTTGAAATTTAATTAAAATAAATATGTTGGCAACACCAACGCGTTTCTTGTTCACTTCGATATTACGGGCGACCGCCAATTATTTAACTGTCAAAGTGTTCCCTGCAGTAATTGTTAAATAAAGTGTCAACTAGCTTCATTATTTTTAACATAAATTACATAGCTTACTAAACGACTTTTTTTTCAATTGTACGATACCATCTTGAAAAGTATATATAAAAATATGTCAGTCATTACTGTTTTACGTAGGGTACGACCAATGGGGTATGGATTTTAATCGTTAACTGGTACAGATAGCGCATTTGCTGGGAGATTTCATGAAATTCACTTAGTCAGGAGTCTTTGTTTACAAAGTTATGAATAAGTTTCTGGGTCCTTATACTTAAGTGTTACATAATAACACTTCTTATTTCCTCACACAAAATTACTAATAGTTCATTTACGGCAGTTAAATCAATCTAACGTTGCCCCAGTCTGGAAAAAGGGCGTGCAAGTGCGGTAGAATTCATAATATCGTGCACTGAGATATAGGGGGATTAAACATTTCCTCGCAACGTGGAAAATTACATCACCGACGAGCTTACCTCACAACGCTGGATATTGTGATAACCCAAACTTCCCGTCTTTGAAATGGCCTTGAAAAAGTTTGAAAGGCCCCTCAAAAAAATTCAAACATTCAAAATTTGGCCTTGGTTGTGATCGTCTAACAAATGGAAACCTACGTTGTGTGTGTTTTTTTTTGGAAAGTGGAGGGAAGACGTTGTTTCATACAAATGAGCATACACTGCGTATGAGTCGGGAGCCCAAGAAATAATAGACAAAAATTTTGTATCGTATATTTACGGACATATTACATTTCAAACGAAACACCTTAAAAATATGAAAGAAAAGACACTCGCGATTTGACAGACATACACATATGAAAACCAAACAAGTACAAAACCCTACGTTTATGTTTTGAATCAATGCAAATATGCGAATATCACAAATTTAATAAACACAAAGCAAAATCTGAATTAAAGTAACTGGATGCAAATACACAAGTAATTACGGGCGTGTGGCGTCAAATTTAGAGTTACGGCAGTTAACAGGAGCACAACAAAAATCCCCCGTGTGTTCTAGCACAAGCGGAGTTTGGGGCTACCGGTCGGGGCTGTTCTCCCCCCTCGACGGTGATTCTATCTATCGCAAAGCCTACCCACACAGCACATTACACATCTGCATGACGGACATGCCGTCCGGAACTAGGCCGTTACGGTCGCAGACCTCGATGAAGTAATCAATCTGTAGCGTCGTGAGGACATGCCTCGATGAAGTAATCAATCTGTAGCGTCGTGAGGGCATGTTCCGGTGATGTAGTTAATCTATATCGTTGCGAGGACATGCCTCGATGAAGTAATCAATCTTTCGCGTTGTGAGGACATGCCCCGGTGATGTAATCACAATAACAATGATAATAACGATGATAACCGCCTAAGGGAATATAATGTAACACTTACGTATATGCATCCAGAAACCTGTTCGTAATTTGTTAAACAAAGAATTATTATCCTGACTAAGTGAATTTCACGAAATCTTCTAGCAAGTGGTTTATTTAAATAATCTGATTGTTAAACTGTGTTAACATTAGCTGACGATTAAGAAAAACTAACTTGATTGGTGAATTTACAAACAATAAAACAAATTTACCGCACGTGTTCCGCGTTGAACGAAAGTCCGCACTTTTTTCAGATTAAAAGGCCGCAAGAATTAGCTACACGTGTTGGAGGAAAACTATGTCGTCATCGTTACGATTAATTTTCGTTAAACAAAGGCTCCCTCCCTTTTTATCAACTATCAAACCAACTAATTTAAACTAGCTCTTACCACGTGTTTACATTCACAAAAACACATCCAGACTGACGCTTCGCCATGCCGCCCTCTGTCTACTAACCAATCCTCTAACTAAAATTCCCCTAGCGCTACTAATTGTCCAACTATCCAGCAAACGTTACCGTGCACCTAGTTGCCTATGTTTAACGATTTATGATTTGAATTCTTTTTTTCTTTCTCAAATTCAAATTATTCAAATGTGATTTCGCGCCGCTATTAATTATATAATTAATATATTTTGTGTTGTTTATTTATCGTGTGTTTTGTTTGGGATAAGCTGGGGATCGTCCACGATATAAACTCTCAAAGCTAATTGTTTTAAATAACCAGTCACTTGGATCAAGGCATTATTTAACATAATGTAAACTCTTTGTTTGAATCGTTGATGAAGTGTGGCATAATTTAACATCATGTAAATTCTTTGTTCTGGTAGCGGCCATTTTGAAAGTGTCTTTTTTCAAACCGAGCACTTGTTTGAACTGTAAAATCTCATTGAATAAATTAACAACATTGTAACTCATGGGAGAAGTGCATATTTTTGACGCATTTTTTTTTTTGAATGACGCATTTCTCCGACGCCATTTTGAACCTTCAGGTTGCCAATTTTTCACCTGGTACGATTTTTTTTTCTATCTCACAAATTTAACTTCAGTAATTTTTCTTTGTTGTATAATTTAAATTGAGCGTAAATTTTCATGCTCTGCAGTTTCTAACCTCACGTAACCTTTTGTCTGCACACCAGATCTTTTGTTTTATTAATCTTTGCCAGTTTTTCTTTCATGTAAATTTTTTGTTGATTAATGCTTCCATCATATAATTTGTCTGATGTTTAATCGTAATCTCAAATAAGAATTATTTGCTGTTTAAATTTTCGCGAGAGTGTATGGCGAATTTAAAAGTTGTTTATTGATTTTTTTTTAACTTTAAATAATGTAATAACACGTGGCGGAAGCGGAGTGAGCGGTTCCTTGTTGAGCTGTCGGTCATGCCATCTGCACAAAAGAAGCAGGTTTTGAATAGAAGTCAGGAGAGCAGTCGGGATGATGTGACGCTGTCAGTTTATTTATAGCCGTGACTTCCAACCACGAGTTTGCGTAACGGCCTGGGTAGCGCGGCACGTTTCTTCGTGATAGAGGGGTGCTGTAAAACATCTGTGATCGCTCTTTAAAATAGCCAAGTATTATAGAGACAACTTTATCTTTTTCTGGTGACTAAATCAGCATTTGAGTTTCTGGCAGAGTACGGTATTCCACGCAAAGCTAAAGTAAATGTTGCCACCATTGAAGGGGCACGAATTTGTAACCAAAGACTGGCAACAGCCAAATTCACATTTCTGTGTTTGACACTTTTTGGTGAAACGTACTTCGAAATGTGAAAATTCTTGTTCCATGGTACAAATTCTATATTTGTGTTTATTTGGTTGCCTATTTCGTAGAAGAAAGATCATTTGAATAATGACTATAATCATAAAATTGTTCATATAAACCACGTGTTGGGAAATTCACTATTAGTCAGTCAGGTTTTATTCTTTTGTTTATCAAGTTGTAACTAAAGGTTCTGGATGTTTTTACTCAAGTATTTATTACATTGTGGTGACCGAATTCGAATCAAATTTTCGCGCTGAAATTAATTAACAGCGGCGCGAATAATCTGAATTTGAAAGAAAAAAATTCAATAAAAAAATCGTTAAACATAGGCAACCAGATGCACGTAGGGCTTGGGGGTAGTTCTGCATGTTTAGTTAGACGGCGGTGGTCGGCTGGGTAAACAGAGGGCAGCATGACGTCGTGTGTTTTTGTGAGTGTAAACACGTGGTAAGATAGTTTTGGTTCGTTTAGTTGGTTTGGTAGTTAATAGTTTAACGACAATTAATCGTATCCCCAATCCGCGCAGCTAATTCTTGCGGCTTTTTAATCGGAAAAGTGTTAATTTTCGGCACCAACGCGGACCACGTGGCGTAAAGTTGTTTTATTGTTTGTAGATTCATCAGTCAAGTTAGTTTTTTTAATCGTCAGCTAGTGCTAACACAATTTAATCAGCAGGATTATTTAAATAAACTACTTACTACGAGATTTCATGAAATTCATTTAGTCAGGATAATAATTCTTTGTTTAACAAATTACGAATGAAGTTTCTGGACGTAAGTGTTACTTTATTACACTTCTTAATTCTTCACACAAGATTGCTAATAGCTCATTTACGGCAGTTAAATTAACTAATCATACTGTATATAGTGAACTGACGAGGGGTTAAAATAATTTCTTCCCTTAGGCGGTTATCATCGTTATTATCATCGTTATCATGATTACATCACTGAGGCATGTCCTCACAACGCTAAAGGTTGATTACATCACTGAGGCATGTCCTCGCCACGTTAAAGACTAATTGCATCACTGAGGCATGTCCTCACAACGCTAAAGATTGATTGCATCACTGAGGCATCTCCTCGCCACGCTAAAGATTGATTACACCACCCAGACGCTTTTTTCTCGCAAACGTTAAAATTTACATCATCGAGACGCTTTTTCCTCGCAACGATGTCCAACTTTAATATGACATAAGAAGTATTTGTTGTTTAAAATTTCACAAGATCGTATGGCGAATTTAAATGTTGTTTATTGCTCTTTTGAAACTTTAACACTTGTTCAGTTGTGTTAATATCAGAGTCATAGGAGTTGAACATTTAAAATGGAATTGAGGTTAATAACACAGCAAACGTGGAAGAAGCGAAGTGTGGTTCCTAGTCGAGCTGGCGAGATTTATCGCGTCGCCTGCACAAAGGATACAGGTTAGGATAGATTCAGGAGCGGTCGCCGATGTTGTAACGCTCTCGGCTTCGTGCTAGCCTAGATCCAGCTGCGGGTCTGCGATCGTAACGACCTAGTTTCGGACGGCATGTTCGTCGTGGAGGTATGCTGTGTGGGTAGGCTTGTGATAGATAGAAT